ATAATACTAAACGTAAATAAAATAGGTAAATATTTACTGACAACTTTATTCAACTATTTTTTTTTTTACAATTAAATAGGAAAAAATAAGATACATATTAATCGTTGAGATATAATTGGAAAAAACCAATCATGAAGCCCTGAAATTCAGGAAAACAATGAAATCATCAGAAATCATACAAGCAAGAACTCTCATCATCATATCTACTACAAACAGTGACTCCATCCCTCGAGGACATCTAAGCAACAAGAATTGGCGAGCGAAAGGCTGGAGGATTATTTATTTATATGTATTGCTTCCTCACTACCAAAGGTAGGGAAGTATTGTGTTCGTGCGAAATATTAAAAAAAATTTGTGTTCAGAATCTAAAATTTCCACCCGCATTTTACGAATTTGGTTCGGTGTCTGTCTATAGTCAAATGGATGTGACAGTACCGTTCATCCGATTTTTGTGAATTTTTAAGGGATTATGCGGATCGGTGCCTAGATGGTTCCATATTAATTTTATCAAATTCAATCCAGCACTTCCGCAAACCAAAGCGCAAACGTATTTTTTTTAGATATACCAATATTTCAAAAAGGGCTAGTTCGACTTGGCTCAAAGTTAGATAAAAGGTAGGTAATGGTGAAAAAATAAAGTATTTTCAATTTTATTGAATTCTGTCCAATAATTTTTCGTATATATCAGCAAAATTATTTCCCTTGATACGTCTATATCAATAAAACCGTATGTTTGCTTTGGCTCAAATAGGGAAAGAAATTAGAGATTGGTAAACAGATAATCAAGTAGGTATGAATTTTATTAAATTCTATCCACTTCTCCTAGAAAAAATACTTTCGCTTTCGGATTAGCAAGCGTATTATTTGGCAAGCCTGTAGTTTGAAAACTGCGCGGTAAATTTGACCCAAACTTGGAGGAAATGTGGAGAACAGTATAGACATTTCCTAATATGAATTTCATTCAATAATTAAAATTATTATAAATAATTGTTAACAATATAATTCCAGTGAAATGTAAAAGGGACTGGTCAAAAGGAGTGGGAGTTATGTTATGACAATATTTTTATGGGGTTATAAAATTTTAGGTTTTATTCAAGGAGTTAATTTACACTGTATTGTTTCATCGATTCCAAACGTTACTTACATTTCGTGTAATTTTCAATAAATTTAAATTAGTTTTTACTCTGAGTTTGAAAAAACAATTTTTTTTTGGTTGTGTTTATTTCTATTGTCCAAGTTCAACCAGCACCATGAGTTTATGTGTGATTTTTACATATATTTTTATAATCCAGCTTAAATGAGATAAACATAGAGAAAAAATCCTTAAAGAACAAAATCAAGAAGACATTGAATGTAAATGGGGTGTTTGAACAGGTTGTGCTATTAAGGAGGGACGGCCGGACTGATTGATTCCCGCGTAGACAGGCGAGCAGTTCCCTACAGCCAATCACCATTGTCCATTGTTCCAGGGATCCTCATCTCCTCCACTAATTACAGCCAGGGGCAGCTACCACGGGTCTCTGGGAACCTCAGGGTCTTCGGGATAGCTCATTAGCTGAGGATGGACACGGTATCTGTCTTCATAGGCCTGTCTCTCCCTATTGTTTAGCAGAGGATAAGGGGTAATGGCACAAAACTGTTGCATGGAGAACTTTTAATTTTAAGAATTATATAATAGGATTTTTAGGAAAGAGGATAGTTAGTTCGAAAGCCTGTGTAAAAAAATGGCATTAATTTTTAAAACATTTTTTTTTTATTCATAATATGTAAACTAAAAAAAAAATGAGAGCTTGCCATCATTCTACGTAAAAAATGGCGACTGATTTAAAGAATAAAATGCCAGACTTGAGGATAGAAACGGAAAAAAATATTATGAAAAATGTGGGAAAAGTTTTCATTATTTATATGATATTTACAACTGTATAAAAGCAAAATAGATCTAGTAAATTCGTCTTCTATTCAGACGCCTCGAACGGTTATCAGGAACTGAATAGGAAGCAAGGTTAGAAACCATATTGGGATGGTTATGAAGTTTATTATGGAGGATAGATATCTGGATTGGGCCAAATCTGATACATAAGGAACATTAAGGTCATTATGGATGATTTTATTTGTAACAAAGTAAGGAGCATTGAGGATTTTACGAAGGATTGGATACGAGAGGAATTTGAAGGTTTGGTGGAGCCCCATAGCTCAACTCCGTAAGTCCAAATAGGCCTTATCATAGTCATATAAACGAGTCTTTTGTAATTAATAGAAAGGATTTTAGAGCGTTTGTCTAGTAAGTGTTAACGTAGTCGGAAACGTCGAACTGTTTCTTGTTGTTTCAGTCTGGTATGAGGATTCCAAGTTAGACATTTGTCCAGATGGAGTCCTAGGTAACGGATTTGTTCAACAGGAATAAGTGAGGTGTTGTTAAAGGATACTGAAGGACAGGAAGTCATTGGTTTACGACGGAAGGTAATTTGATGGGATTTATAGGAATTCATTTTAATTCTCCATTTTTAACAGCTTATTTTTTTTTACTTTATATATATATATATATATATATATATATATATATATATATATATATATATGGGTTTAAGCATGTAAAAAAAAACCAGTTTTTCTCATGCAATTCCTTTATTGTTTTTTCACCTACAATTCCTAAACGGAGCGAAAAACGTACTCTTTATATTGAGCTGAAATATTTTCCACATCTCTTTACCTCTAATATACAAAGAAGACAACCACATGTTGGAGTGAAGTACAGTAGCGTATGCAACGTGTGGAAACATTATCAGATGAGAACCTGACAGTAACGGCGACAGTTATTTTGCTAATTAAAGCAATGTTAGTGGTAATTTAGACAAGGTATCAGTAGCAAGGAAGTAAAAAAAAAACCTATAACGTAATAGGACCATGGAATAACAATTCAAATATTATTAATTATTAAATATTAAAATATACATAAATAACGTAAATCAATATAATGGCATGAGTAGACGAATAGAGAAACTACTTTTTGGTAGAGAAATTTAAGTAGAGAACAATTGAACAATTAATTGTTGGCCAAACAAGTAGAGAATATCTTGCTGGACATGTAGAGAAACTGTAGTTGATAAACCAGTAAAAGTTATCAGTTAGAGAGTCCCAAGTCTATTTTTTCAGATGCTTAAACGGATTTTCAGAAATCGAAGAGGATAGAACCATATAAATTAGTGTGTTTGGATGGGCCTGAAATCTGTTATGGAAGAATATGAATCTGGAAAAGGTAAAATTAGCAACAGGTTTGTATGGAACATTAAGGCCATATATCATTAATATATGAAAAAAATGAGCTTTTTCTTTTCTTTTTTTTTAATTCTGCCAAAAATTCATTAAGATATAAACAATTTTAGAAAAATGAGGCCCCAATTTTATACGTGAACACAAAATAATAAGTAGAACAATTCAAATACTATTGTTATCAAATTTATTAAGCATTATATACCACCAGTACCATATGAATAAAAGATGGGCAATATTTATCAATACAGCTATTACATATTTCAACAAGCTCTTGGTAAAATTAATGTGATTGACAGTATGCGATTATATTATTTATATTTTGGTAATAAATACAGAAATGATGAATGTAAAAGAAAATTATTTTCTGTTTATTGTCCATAATTTTTTCTCAACAAAAAAGGATTCAGATGGCTTTCATGTTTTATATTTGTTAAAATAATCTAGATCTATATAATATGGATTGATCGGAACGAATAACTTAAACATCAAATATACATCGAAATAAATGTGGGATTTTTAACTTTAATTCAGAGCTTTAATTTGGGTCGAGGAGTGTAGCCTGATGTTCCGAATCCGAGCCGAAAAATTAGTGTTGCAATCGAATTACTTTCATGTTCCACTTGATATTATTATAGGGCAATAATCAGAGGAGAAAATTAATTTTCTAGAACCATGGATGATTGATTATGTTAGCTATCAGCAAGGCACATTGCCCAAGAATGGTACTCGTGTTGTAGACAAAACAAATCTAGTTTATAAATTCTTCTTTTTGGTGGGAAGTTCTACGTTATTCTCTTTTTTTGGCAATAACTCCTAATTAAACAAGAAATGATTTATTTGTTGTGTTTACATGTTTACGTTTAGGCAAATTTATTCATATCTTCAGAACTACAATCCAACGTTTCTTCGTCGGTTCATGGCTAAAAATGATTTAAATATAATGCATGTTAGAATTTAGTTGTTGCATTAAATATGTAATTACCTTAAGTCTAATGTGCTCCATTGTCAGGTTCTAAATTCATGTTTTTATAAATTATAGTATATACTATCCAGAGCAACATCATGCTTTTAGATCAATTATTGGTTGTCTGCCGTGGTGAATACAATTGACCTTTGATATGACTATTTATTTTTTACTATTGTTGGTAAATGTTTATTTTTTATGTAGCTGCAATTTTATTTTTACTAAATTTTAATTTGTTTAATATATCAGCATAATGTGTCCCCAAACGTTTGATGTCTGTTTTGTAATTTACTGTTTTCTATTGTTTTTTTGAGATGTGTATAAAGTTTTATGAAGTTAGTAGTCTGGTTTTATTTTTTGGATGATGTCCAAAAGAATGTTTTTCTTAATGTTTACTTTTTGCTTGTGCTATGCTTTTAAAATCTATTATTATGTAATCTTAACATTTAAAAATCATTATATAATCTTTGCTAACGTTGTGGAACCTCTCCAGTTAGATAACTGTTGCGAAGAGTTTAAGAAGCGATTTCTGCCGACGAGTGAAGATTTTTTTTTGTTATTGACTATTTTGAAGTTTATTATAATTACACAGTAAGTAAGCAATAAGTGATCTTGACATTTATGCAAAAAAAAAAAAATGGTAAAATCAACCTGTTATACTTGCAATAACTCACTATCGTTGTAAACACAAAGAGTTATAAGCAATAACAAGTACTTAAAACCTTGGACTATTTAATCGTTCAAGGTCTTACCCCTCACGATTATGTTTCCAGATTACGACCGCTTTTCCCTTATCGTCGTCGATGGCTATCTCCAAGGAGATGAAGCTCTTGCAGGGAATCCTGGGAGGTCCGGAGGAGATGAACCGCTGCAGATATGATAATAGGTGGTCAGAGATAGGACGCTAACGGGCCTCGCTTGTTCTTCTACATTTCTCAACCAGAGGTCACCCTCCGCCCAGGTTTTCTCAAGGCCGGTCGTCTAACTCATCATAAGCTTCGTCTTATTTGAGGATGTCAATACTGAATCCTCAGTATTACTCCTTTATATATAGTAGGTATGATTAAATTAAATTGATATAGTTAAATAATATGTGATAGTGATATATTTTTATTATATACTCTTCTTCCTCGCCTTTTAGGCTGTACGGATTTTTCCAGGGCCAGAGGAGAGGACGAGGAAATTATGCCAGAATTAAAGGTCTCCTCGACAAACAGTGGGATAAGTAAGGAAAAACTCACGACATTAGCTTAATCAATTTTTTTTTTTAAATACTCCAAAAACTAGATAAGCAGTTCTTTATGGATATCTTCTGGAATTCGTGAGAATATTTTCAGTTGGCAGAATATACATTTTTTACTGTTTTTATTGAATAGTTCAATTTAAATATAAATATATATATATATATATATATATATATATATATATATATATATATATATATATATTTCATATCTTCATATAAAGTATCAGTAATGTTCAATACTCTATCAATTTGTTCAAACTCGTTCAATTCTCTTTCACTTTCAAAATCCTAAAAGTTGTTTGGTAAATATAGACGAATAAAACGGAATAATTTTGGTTTTTCATTCACACCCCTTTTGAAAATGATAAGAAACAAAAATTTAGTATTTTGAGTATTTCTTTCAAAATCAATTACATAGTGCTTTCAGCAGAACCAATGGAAGAATTATAGCTTTCATTTAAAAAAATAAATAGATTTCAAGTAAACTGGAGTAATATAAAAATAACATAATGATTCAAAATTCAGCAAATTAATCGTGAAACCAAAATATAACAAATCTTGGAATGTGAGGATTCGGAATGCAATACAGTTAACAATGTCGTCATCAATAAGAAAGGGAGAGAGAAAGAGAAGTAATAGTTCTTAACTTTCTTAAAAATAAATAAGATACTTTCAAATTATTGAATCCACTCATTATCCTTTCTTCTCATGAATGAAAGTAGTCCATGTTTCAGTACCATAATCCAAAGTGATGTGAAAGAACTTAAAATAAACTATAGGTCACGAATTCAATCAAAAATTAAATTTCCGGTAAATATTTTGCTTCTTTTTTTTTTGCACAGAAATATCAAAAAGAAAGTATATAGAAATTAGCTAACCATAAAAAAAAACTAAAAAAAAAAAATGTTCACGATTTAGATTACAGAACGCTTTTCAGACTCGGAGATTAAAATAATTAAAAATTGATAAATGTGTATAAGAATCTTGAGAAACTGAGTGGTTCCGTTCGTTATCTTAATTTATTATTAATTCAGAAAACACAAATTATCATAAATTTTATACTTTACAAATAACACTCTTAAAAATCATGGAAAGCTTCCGAAACAGTAATATTGATTAGGCTAAAAATTAATATATATAAAGGAAAAAAACTGACAAGTTATTTAAAATCAAAAAGATAATCGTTGCATAAACCAATAATAATTCAGATTGGATGCTACTGGATGTGCACATTAACAGAAACGGATCCATATTTAGTTTATTGGAATATTAACTTTCAGAGTGACCACATAATTTGGGATTATGCTGTCAATTACCTTGTCTATAAGAGTAATTGTTATGGACAAATTATCCACCAACCTAATAAATAATTATCTTTTCACAGCAGAAGCAGATTTTTTTTTTTAACTTGTTTATTTAAAAATATTACAATCTGTCTCAAAGAACACTCGTAGCAGATTTAAGATTGAATTTTAGGGAGGTTCAGGCAATTTAATATTTTTTATACTGACGATAATTACAGAAATAATGCTTTTATAGATTAAAAAAAACATGCTTTTGTTTACCGCTTGCTTATATTTAGCAGCAGATATACATGTGTTTTACTATAAAAATAAAACATACTCCGATTGTTTTAGTATTCGAAACAGATCGCTCATAGAAATGAATATGGACCAATGAAAAAAAAAAAAAAATTAGGGACTACTAAGTTTATTTTAAACAAAAGATTATTTTTTTTCTGTTATATGAGAGGAAATTCCCCTTTTTCATATACATATGTGTATAAATGTGATATAAGTTTATGCAGCTTTCAATCTTTATTATAGCCAACATTTCTATTAATAACCAAAATTAAATTTAAAATTAAAGTAAAATCCTAGATATTAAATTTACGAAAATAGATTAGCTCTGGAAAGAATTACGACTGACATGTAGGTTGCTATTATATAAAAAGTTAAAAAAATTAAAGAAAATCCTTTGAATCAGTTTCTTGGAATTTACATCTTCAGTTGGTACAATTACAATACAACAGTGCAATAATACAGTACAATTATTGAAAAATCAACGAATAATTTGATATTTATTGAATAATCTTATATTCAATGAAAAATTAATAATTAATTTCATTAATTAGCTCTGAAATATCAATAGTTTTCTTTAGGACAAACTCTTATATGAGAATTGATTTTTTCGTTAAAAACACATTATATTTAGCAAAAAGCATGGATACATTACGGATAATCTGAAGAAAACTTATATAATCCTAATTCAAAAGATTTGTGTCGTTGCAGAGATTTGTTAGCGAAGGATGATGCGGAGATAATTATAGAAGAGAAGAACCAGCGAGAAAATAATTATCTTTAGTCTACTTTTTGTGTTGGTAGTTATAAATTGCCAGCCAGTTACAATGACTTGCCATCCAAGGCGACGAGATAAGCACTAGAGACCTAACAGCTAGGTAACAACCATGATGAAGTTATTCTTTGAGAAAACCTTAATACTTAAAATTATACAAGTTAATAAAGTGAGCTTGGTTTTCAATGTGACTACTCAATACTTATTTCATATTATTAACTGTACTTAAATAATCAAGAATACTAAAAAATTGTCAAAGAACAAACTTCTACCAAAGTAACTAGGAAATCCTAGGAAAAACTAGGAAAGTGATTTTAATTCCAAAATTCTTAGAATAAATCTTTACATTAATATTTAATTGAAATTATTTTGTTTCTTCGGAATCAGTTTGATAAATATTAGGAGGACCAAAAAATAATGTAGATTTCTTACATCAAATTCAAACACCTAAATTTCCCAAGGGTTTTTATTTTTAATCATTGATGGAATCACCTACATTGCCAATAACTTTTTGTTATCTAGTGTGCAAAATTTCAATGAAGGTTCGATAAAAATCAATTAGTTTTTGAGCAAAATATATAGAGATAGCATTCCAATTTGCAAATATTTTGCTAGTTTAAAAGTATTGAAACGAATCAAAGAAATGGAAATCTGATGGAGCAATGTCGGATGAGTATGGTGGATAAGGCAGGAACCTCCATCCTCAACTCATTATTTTTTTCCAGTTTGTCTTACGCAGTGCGATCTTGCATACCCTTACGAAACTCAAAAAGCATGCAACATCGAATATGCACCTCTTCTGGTATTGAGATGGCAATTTCAGTAAAAATTGCAAAAAAGAAATTATTATTTGCAACTGAAGAAGTCACTTTAATTTTAGAATGTATTTGCCATGATTAAATGTACAAAATCAGCTGCCAAATGACAATCAAATAGTGAATTGCTCAGAAAAAAACATTACTTTCCGGCCCCTCTAATATAAGAAACTACTAATACATTATTAAATATTTGTAATTGAGGGTAAATTGTTGACTGTCGTGAATAATGACGAGAAGAATAGTTGGGGCGATCAGTCAAATAAGAAGGCAAAAATAAATGAGAAGGAATTAGTCGAGGGTGCGGTCAAAAAAAATAAAAAAAATTAAAATATATAAATAATTTTAATTTTTGCCGACGTTTCGACCCACTTTGCAGGTCGTCTTCAGGGCTACAAAAGATACAAACATGTTGAAAATATAAAAATAAAATAAAAATAAATATAAGTATATATAAATTACGAAGAAGTTGTCAGATACAGAAATAAAAGATAAAGAAAATAAATACATGATAAGAAAATAGATAAAAGAAAATAAATACATGAATGTTAACGAATAAATGAATGTTAACGAATAAATTGATTGAAAATTGAATAACTATTGTTACAGTAAAATGCAGTAAATTGAATAACTATTGTTACAGTAAAATGCAGAAAAAAAACTGCATTTTACTTTAATTGTTTTACCTACACTACTTATGTTTCTCATACCTTGTTATCTTAGCCCTGATGAAGGCCTGAACTTTAGGTCGAAACGTAGGCAAATGTCAAAATAAATATTACCATTTATTGTTGCCTTCTTATTTGACTGATCACCCCAACTATTCTTCTCTTTATTAAATGTCTATATTATAGATTAAAATATATTTTATTTATAATAATTAGAACAAACACAAATCACGGCATTTCTCATAAGATATTTCACGCTAATTCTGACTTTCTAATTCTAACTTGAGTTTAGATTTTATGGAACTTAATACTTCAAATGCATATACATAACTATATAATGAGACTCTTGAAAAAATAATAAATGAAATAAAAGCATTATCATTACAACCTATGAAGCCACATGGATTCATTACTTGCTTGATAGATAATACCACCTTCTAGAACCTATACCCCTTTAGGCATATTTACAAGCTCAACTGAGAAATTAAGATAATATGAAAAACAACTTGAGCAGGAAACAATAAATAGGCCGAATGAACTTAAGAAATAACTAAGGATTAAATATCTCATAATTAGATAAAATATGATTAATTATTTAATGGATTTATATTTCATTCAGCAATAGATAATTTCAAAGTGTATCGTTTTAATTAAAAAGTAAAAAAATCACCAATTTTTTCCACATCGGATACAATTAAATCACCCTAAACTAAATAGTTAAAATTAATACGAAATATACGTATAATTGAACGAAATTAGTTAACTGTTCTACATGCCATGGTTGATAAATAGTTAGGACGCAGTCGTTTAAGATTTTTATTAGTGCCGGCATTTCAACCCAAGCTTGTGGTCCATCATCAGTGAAGTACTTGATCACCTTCCTTCAGTGCTGGTGATGTTGAAACGTCGACAACAATAAAAACTTTTAAAATGACTGCATTCAAACTATTTATCATCCATGAAGTACGATATAAATAGTTTTATTTTATTGTAAAAAAAATAAAAAAATAAGAGTAATATTATTAAAATTTTATCTCAGTAAAATAATGAGTACGAAATGATTTTTAATCTATTGTCAAATTAATTAGAGTTGATCTAAATAATAATCAAATAATTGAATTTAAATATAAAATAACTCCTGGAGTCCTCCATAGTTGGAGGGACAAGCCTACCTCGGATTTCTCTTGCCTGATAGTAAATATGTTATTTTTTTATTTTACTTATCTTAAAGTTATTTTATTTTTATTTATAGTATATACTTTTTGATTACTATGTGGTCGTTATTACAACTATTGTCCGATTGACCGAATGTTATATTGCTCGATAAATAAACATTTTTCACAAAAAAAAAAAAAAAAAATACTCATATTTAATCCCATTTTTATCAAGCTAAAAACCTTTTGTAAAGTTTCAGAGGCAAACTTTATCAAACCAAAAGATTTCAATTGATCTTCATAAAGCAACAATGAACAGAAAATTTTCCCCAAAAACAATAGGATTCAATTACAGTTGATAAACTTAAACTATGACTAGGTTTTTCAAAACTATAATTTATCGACTTGTTTCACTTCATATATGTGTCAAATACATACTACATGAGTTACGATACCTA